TGGCAGATAAACGTGAGATTGCAGAGGTGGTGTTTAAGCAATTAAATGGTTGGAGAAATCCTGCATGTGTCACCAGAGAGAAGTCTAACGTTTAAATAACTAAAACTAGGGCTGTCGCGATTCATCGATTCTATTTTAAAAAATCCTCGACTTCATTTTGACTGCGTCGACTAACCGGCAAAATATGGTATGTGGCGCATTTCACAGATGAGAATCCATAAAACACATTATTAGACCATTATTTTCCAAGGTGCATGATATATTAAACCCATGTAAAAATCATAATTAAGCATAACTGTGAATTCACAAACGCTACGATTTAATTAAATAATTATATGCAATGCAGTTAAAGGTGTGTAGGTTAAGTACGTGCGTCTCACAGCGGCTCTGTTCACAGTAAATGCTGTTCCACAGGAACTGTTATCATTTACATGTGTAGCGATGTTTTTGTGAGTTTGGGTTTATTATAACGTTCATCTGGGAACGTAACGTGCGCCATTTCATCAGATGCGTAAGGTAAATCATTTATAAATCCACGCAAACACAGGAGAATACATCATTATCTCACAGTTTCAAAATAAAAGTCAAACCCTCACTCGGCGTTTACTCATTTTGATGTCCACATATTCATTTAATTACAGTGGCTATAGCATTTCTGTCGTAAAGAAATGGCCAAATATTAACGATTAAGTGGACATTTGAATTAAATGATGATTGGTCAATATTAAACAAGTATTAGATCGCACAGTAATGTGTAAAAACAAAAAAAATTTCTGGGGTTAATTGAAACATATTTGTTTTCCCTTTGTAGTTGCACTCACAGCTGTAATGCCCAGAACATGTGGATATATTGACATTAAGAACATGCTGACTTTCTCAGACTTTTGTAATTATTTTTTAGGTTTGTTTAAATTTTTACTCTTTTAGTTTTACATTTTGTCAATGGCTTGTTTACATTTATAAACAAGTATTAGATCGCACAGTAATGTGTAAAAACAAAAAAAAAATTCTGGGGTTAATTGAAACATATTTGTTTTCCCTTTGTAGTTAGGGTTAGAACATGTGGATATATTGATATTAAGAACATGCTGACTTTCTCAGACTTTTGTAAATTTTTATTAGGTTTGTTTAAATTTTTACTCTTTTAGTTTTACATTTTGTCAATGGCTTGTTTACATTTATACTTTTTTATGGTACACTACTGGATGGCAAAGTTGCAAGTTTAATAAAATGTTCTTTAAAATTGTTGATTTGTTTGGTGGGTAATTAATCGTTTAGATTAATCGATTAATTAGTCGATAGATTAATCGAAATAAAAATAGTCGTTAGTGGCAGCCCTTACTAAAACTGAAATAAAAATTAATAACTATAAAGACAAAAAATAAAAATGACAACACACACACACACAAAAACTAAAACTTCACTATTAAAATGAAAACGGAAAATACAAAAATAGAAAAAAATCTAAATGTTAAAAACAAAAACCTAAACGAAAACTTATTTTTTTTTTTGTTTGGTTATGCCTTGTGATTGTGACTGTTTATTTGTCTGTAAACTTGAAAATACTACAATAAATGTAATATATATATATATATATATATATATATATATATATATATATAAATAAATAATAATAAAATATGGTTTGCACACAAAATTGTCATATAAACCATTTAGATCAATATTGCTTATTTTTGTGTGTGTGTGTGTTTATAATGTTTTCACTGAATGATGACATTTTGATTTTCAACATTATGAAGTCAAAAATGTACAAAAAAAATGCATGGATAAATTGTTCTCAATAAGATCTAATAACATGCCTTTAGAAAATACGGCACATTTTTATTTAATGCTGGCTTTAAAAATGTGGAGCTCATGGCGTGAGACACTGAAAACACAAAAGTGACTCACTGCAGAGGTCAAAGATGTCTGTCTAGCACAAACTTCCACAGGCCAACAACCAAAAACTTGTGTAGCAGTACCCTAACAGTACCCAGAATGCACATTAAGTGCCATTTTAAAGTCTAAGAATGTCTACTTCAGCCTCATGGCTTCTTTAACAGGGTCTCGGATCTCTCAAAGTGCATATTCATCTCATGGGAATTCAAATAATAAAACAGAGACATCAGGACAGAGGAAGAATGTGTTTATGGCGGATTGTGGTGACAGTTTAAACCCCATGTATGACCCTGATCAAAGAACGGCCAATTCCACAAACCCACAGAGTTATGAGGAGATCAACACAGAAACCACAGTTACTGACACACAACAACACACACATTCATGGGAAACATTCATCATTCAATCACATCTGTCTGCACACACACTGGCCCTGCAGAAACAAAACAGAGAACAATCTCAATGAGACGGGGAACAATTAAAAGACAGGAATAACAAAATCCTGAAATGAGAAATGGGTTGAAACCAGGATTATTAAAACTAGTTACTTAACTAAAAAGTTACTTATATATATGTGAACTTTAACTTATTTTATTTCAGCTACAACATTTCTCATTTTCATTTTGTTTATCTTGATGCACAAAAATAACTCAAACTGAAGAACTAATACAATTCTAAATAAATATGAAGACATGAAACTAACCCAGATCAAAACAACAAAAAACAAAACTACTAAAACTTTACAATTGAAAATATAAAAACAAAACAAAGCAAAAAATTTGAGATATTATAAAAAAAAACTTTTTATTTCAGCTAGTTGCCAAAGCAGCATTTCTCATTTTCATTTAGTTCAACTCGATGCACTAAAATAAGTAAAACTGAAAGAAAACATTTAAAAAAAATAGACATAAAAAACAATAAAAAAAAAAAAAAACATACAAAATGTCTAAAACTTTACAATTAAAATAAAAACAGAAAACACAAAAAAATACAACAAAAATTTCTAAACTTAAACAAATTTGATTTCAGCTAGTTGCCAAAGCAACATTTAGAATTTTCATTTAGTTTAACTTCATGAATTAAAATAACTAATCTTAAATTAAAAAATGAATAAAATATATATAAACATTTAACAAAAAAATTAAAATGGCAAAAACACAAAGTTACTAAAACATTAACTAAAAAAAAAAAAAAATTCAAACTGTTAATAAAACTACAATAGCATCTCAATGATACTAAAATAACACTGGTTTAAACAAGAAGAGCAGACATTTCACGTATGCCTAGTGAGAAGTGAGCACAGGAGTGTGTGTATAAAACACACACACACACACACACACACACAGAGAGAGAGAGCGGGGCTGATCGCCATGGAAACAGCATATAGGCTAGCTTTGTTGAGTTGTTACATAATCAAAGGGCCTCAATGGATGATTAGGTGGTTCTTTCTTTCTTTCTTTCTTTCTGTCTGTCTTTCTATCACTAACCCTCTCAAACAGCTACTCTCATGCAACAACACGTGGTCAGACATCGGTTAAAACAGCCTCTGCCATCTTAAGAAACATGCAAATCATTATAAAACCTACACCCCAAAATGTAGAAATGCTTGTGGTGGAGTGTGAGTGAGTGTGTTCAGGGGAAACCAGATGCTTTATATTCTCTGAGGTCCATGTTAAAATACACAGATGAAAATATGTGAAATGTTTCAACTGAGCGCAAATATGTGCCCACAGTACATTCCTTAATGTTAGAAATGTGGCATAAATTATGCCGGGCTCTACAGCTTTCAAAAGGAAGAACGAGAAACACTAGTGAGGTGGAAGAAACATGACAAAGAAAGAGACAGACAGAGATGCTCCGTGTTTGTCTTAGCCAGCATTTTGCCATGAATGGATGCTGAGGTTTCCATGGCAACAACATCGCAGCTTCTTTAGTAGGCCGATATCCTTGAGTGATTTTCTGTATTTTTAGCTGATGTATTATTTGGCTGTTCTTTCTCTCAATACATGCATGTGACTCTACAATATTCTACAAGGACAGGTGGACAAACACTAGTACATGAACGCATCCAAATGCAGGAACCCGTTTTTATTTTTTATGTGAAGCGTGTCATTTGTACACTACTAGTGAAACTTTAAAAAATATTTTTTCCCAGTGGACAAATAGGTTGTCCTGACCAAACTCACAACATAAAGGTACACCCGTCAAAGTCGCAGAACAAAATTACACACTTCAATTTGAATTTCAACTTTGTTGGCCTCAGGATTATTTGGGTCATTGTGGAGCATCTCTTTTACATTTAAAAATCAGGTCAATGACATGATGCTAATTGTTATGTTTAGATCTATTAATTTATTTAATAATATGTTAACAAATGTTAGATATGCATGAAAAATCTATATCTTTAATGTGGGGGGGGGGGGCATCAGGGTGATTCAACTATCCTGAGATCTATTATAGTATTATTCAAAGTATGATATATTCTTGAAAAGAAAACAATGTAACGCTTATAAACAGCAACTAAAAAAATGTACAGAACTGCTTGACTATTTGTTAAAATTTGAAAACCTTTTGTCTGCCAAATCATTTGGTGCGACCAAGATGTAGAAAATGCAGAAAAAACATAATACAGGAAATACTATTATAGAGAAGACCCATCATCAGTGTGTCAATAAAATATTTGATAATTGTATCTTTTTATGGCAAAGCAAGGTTAGTTCAGGTAATAAAATGTCATGCAGTTCGACTCCTTAAAAACATAATTAGGCCTATATTATATGATATTTCTAAAAACAGAAAAATCTTTTAGATTAAAAAAATAAGACGTTTACACTCACATGCATTCAAGGAATAACTAAAAAAAGGTTATTTCCTTTTACTTGATGGTTGCACCACATGACGATAAATGTAAACTTCTTGTGAAAATCGTATCAACATTTTTCAAAAGTACATGACAACAACATACATTTCTAGGAACTTGTTACATGTGTTTTAAACTAGACGTTTATATAAAAAAATTTAAATAAAAAAACAACAACTCCTTTTCATTATCGTAGACACTTTTATTTGTCATTGAGCATTAAACACAACAGCTTGTTTACCTTATATCCTGTGTGTGTGCGGCTCTTCGTATGAGGTGTGGCGGAGCACAGCTCGATGGCTTCTGGCTCATGAAAGATCACTGTAGGCAGCTGGTCCTTCCGGAGCGTCAGCACGTTGAGTTTGGTCTTTAGCATGGTCTGTAAATGCTGAAAAAGAGAAGAACTCAGTTTAGGCTGCAGTTTGAACATGTTTAACAAATACAGATCCCCTCTGTTTAAACTCATAAAACACCACTTCCACAACCTGGACGGATGACTGAATTGTTTGCGCATAACATCCAAGTTACTCCATAAAGGTTATGGCACACTTATGTGATATTACACAGATGTCTGTCTCTCTCAGGCCACGCTCATTCTGTAATGGAGTGTTATTTATACATAATAAATACAAAATGAGACAAACTATTTGCTAAGGGAGATTTAAATGGGATAAATATAAATTATGCAGGGAACCTTCTCATTTATACATTACTAAAAATATTATATTTCATATAAAACATTAAATAAAATGAACGACAGGAACCAAACTGTGAAGTTCAGTGGGCATAATAATAGCAACTGGAGTTGGTACTTGGATTTATTTTCCCAAACCTATTGGTTTTCATGAAATCATAAACAGTTCTTATCAAACTAACACTCATAAACTCCTATAAAGACTAACACTTATAAATAATACAGAACAATGATTCATTTAAAGAAACAACTCTTAAAGGGATAGTTCACCCAAAAATGAAAATGTGATGTTTATCTGCTTACCCCCAGGGCATCCAAGATGTAGGTGACTTTGTTTCTTCAGTAGAACACAAACAAAGATTTTTAACTCAAACCATTGCAGTCTGTCAGTCTTATAATGGAGGTGAATGGGAATCACGGCTAAAACATACAATAAAACTAAACAAAAAACATACACAAAACCAAATTAAACCCTGCGGCTCGTGACGATACACTGATGTGTAAAGACACGAAACAATCAGTCTGTGCAAGAAACTGAACAGTATTTATATCGTTTTTTACCTCTGATTCACGCAATGTCCGAACTGTTCGAACTATCCTGAGCGAGTTCTCAATTGCAGGTGCGCGAGGCATCTTCTTCTTCTTGTTTTACGGCGGATCGCAGACTTATAAGTGCATTACCGCCACCTATCTCTCAAATGGACCATTGACACTCTATCTACAATCTCAATTAGGAGTGTCAATGGTCCATACAGTTCAGACATTGCGTGAATCAGAGGTAAAAAACAATATAAATACTGTTCAGTTTCTTGCACAGACCGATCGTTTTGTGTCTTTACACATCAATGCATCGTCACGAGCCGCAGGGTTTAATTTGGTTTTGTTTGTGTATGTTTT